AGCTTAAAACTCACACCACGTGTGTGTGTGCATGTGTGCCCAAGATCCCAAAAGGAGAATGGAGAAGGGATTGCGGCATGACCGTCACCTCTGTGGGGTGATTTCTTTCTTTCTGTCTCTCTGTTGCTCTCTGTCTCTACAGCAAACACACCCTATAGCAAAAATCTCTCTAAAAAAATATATATATATGCAATTTGTAAGAAAAAACTGTGTATTTTTTTTTTTAATTTTCTGCACCAAAATAAACTCATACTTTAATTCCACTTTTCCACGTGTTTAGTTTAACGAAATGAAGATGCTATTGAAAAAGCTTAGTTCGAGATAGAAGCAGGTCATTCAACAGTAAAGTCGAAAAAGGCGTCTAGTTCTTGCCCCTCTTGCAACGTCTTGTTTGGGCTGGTTACTCTGTCCCCGTGTCCCCAAAGTGCATCAAACAACTAAACTTGCCTCCAGCACTTCCTAAGCGCACAGTTTCTTCAGCATTTTGTTGGACTTTCAAAACCAATTGCAGGGTTTGGACGCGGGTTAATATTCAGAACTGTGCTCTGTTTTTCCCTACTGTCGCATTGGCATGACAATAGCCGCAGAAGGCCACAAAAGGAGACCAACAAAGGAGGACACGTTTTTAAGGCTAGAGCCATCTGCCAATGTTCCTTAGGCCCTTTTGAAGAACAGAGTGAAGTTAAACCCAGAGCTGGGGAGGGGAGGGCAGAAAAATCATTCACAGGAAAAGCAGTTGCAATATGAAAAGAACCAAAGAAGGCCGGGCTTGGCTAGATGAATGGATGGAATCCGAAGGCCCCTTCTCTGGAGCTCTAAAGAGATCCACCGCAGCCTCTCTGATGGGGCTTTTGTCGGTTGCCAAGCATTTTAAATGTTATAGTAAGAATATGTTATTAAAGGAGGATTTAATATACACAAACCACAAAAAACGTCCCCCAAAGGGGTCTTTTCAGTGCCCACGTGGAAAGCCCAAGCCACCTGCCATTGCAAAGAGGATGCTAATTTTTTTTTCTTTTAGGGAGCAAAATGTCCTAAATACAGTAGTTTAGTATTCTTAAAACATTTCTATACCAACTCTAAATTCCCCCTTCTCCCAAAGACTTGCAAATTTCTAAGACCACCAACCATGAAAATGTATTCAAATGCACTAAAACAAAATATTTTCATGCCCTCAAGAAATGTTATTCAAACAAACTCCTTTGACATTTTTCCTAGAAGAAAAACACTTCCTAAAGCCCTGAAATTGTGGATGGACTGCTTCATAGGAACTAAAACTTGATTGCAAAGCAGTCAGACCAGGCTCCTGGCCTCAGTCCTCCGAGCGCCTCTCCCTCTTAACTTTCAGAATCCTCAATTTCCTGAAGGCAGCGCATAGTGTGTATTCCCCTCTGCCTCCCCTGGGATGGTGTTATTCCCTGAATGGGATCAGTTATCTTCGGTCTCAGTCATCAGGTCTATCCTCAGCCAAATGGGCAAACTTTCAGTAAAATTCTCTCATTTCTGAGCGCAACCTGCGAACAAATCTATTGCCTTCACTGTCTCTCTATCCCTTCATATCTGTCTTTAACAAGCTCATGCACCCCATAACAACCCAAAAAAAAGAAAAAAAGCATAAAGCAAAAATGTCAAATGTTAGCACAACTGGTGATTCTGGGAGAAGGGCACACAAGAGTTCTCTGAGTTTTTCAACTCTTGTAGTTAGAAATCATTACAGACAGGGCCAGGAGAGGGCGTAGTGGTGACATCTGTGGACTCATACATGGCTGACCACAGTTCAAGACCTGATGGCTTGAAAGAACACATATGCTTACACGCCCAAGACCCCAGGAGGAGACTAGAGGGATTGAAGCACAGCCTTTCCCACTGGGAGGCGATTTCTCACTTTCCCTCTCATTGTCTCTGTCTCTCTCCGGAAGCACACACACTAAGGCAAAAACTTCTTTATAAAGAAAAGAAAAGAGATCATTACAGAGGCTCGCCAGTGGCTCAATGATCCTGGATCTCACAAGGCCAACTGAGTTCAAGTCCCGCCCAGTGCACTTTTCGAGCCCCAAATCCCAAGAGGAGAAGGGCTTGTGGGTGACCATCCTCCATGGCGGTGCATTCCTACTTTCCCTGTCTATCTCTCTGTTTCTTTCTCTGTCTCTCTCCTCCATAAACATACATGCCTTCTAGCAAATGAAAAAAAGAAAAAGGTTTCATGTGATAAAAAGAGAAACTGTCCATGAACATACATATGCGAGTCTTCAAAAACGTCACAGAAAAAATACTAATGGAAAAAATTGTAGAAAAAACAATGAAACTTTTGGGACCAGCAGATGGCATAATGGTTATGTTGCTGGACTCCCACGTAGTTGACCACAGTTTGAGTCCTAGACCGGGCAGCTTAAAACTCACACCACGTGTGTGTGTGCATGTGTGCCCAAGATCCCAAAAGGAGAATGGAGAAGGGATTGCGGCATGACCGTCACCTCTGTGGGGTGATTTCTTTCTTTCTGTCTCTCTGTTGCTCTCTGTCTCTACAGCAAACACACCCTATAGCAAAAATCTCTCTAAAAATATATATATATATGCAATTTGTAAGAAAAAACTGTGTTTTTTTTTTTTTTTAATTTTCTGCACCAAAATAAACTCATACTTTAATTCCACTTTTCCACAAACTTTTTCAGGTCTCCTCACGCATCTTCGTTTCATTTTGTTTTTGAATTTAACTAAATGAAGATGCTATTGAAAAAGCTTCGTTCGAGATAGAAGCAGGTCATTCAACAGTAAAGTCGAAAAAGGCGTCTAGTTCTTGCCCCTCTTGCAACGTCTTGTTTGGGCTGGTTACTCTGTCCCCGTGTCCCCAAAGTGCATCAAACTACTAAACTTGCCTCCAGCACTTCCTAAGCGCACAGTTTCTTCAGCATTTTGTTGGACTTTCAAAACCAATTGCAGGGTTTGGACGCGGGTTAATATTCAGAACTGTGCTCTGTTTTTCCCTACTGTCGCATTGGCATGACAATAGCCGCAGAAGGCCACAAAAGGAGACCAACAAAGGAGGACACGTTTTTAAGGCTAGAGCCATCTGCCAATGTTCCTTAGGCCCTTTTGAAGAACAGAGTGAAGTTAAACCCAGAGCTGGGGAGGGGAGGGCAGAAAAATCATTCACAGGAAAAGCAGTTGCAATATGAAAAGAACCAAAGAAGGCCGGGCTTGGCTAGATGAATGGATGGAATCCGAAGGCCCCTTCTCTGGAGCTCTAAAGAGATCCACCGCAGCCTCTCTGATGGGGCTTTTGTCGGTTGCCAAGCATTTTAAATGTTATAGTAAGAATATGTTATTAAAGGAGGATTTAATATACACAAACCACAAAAAACGTCCCCCAAAGGGGTCTTTTCAGTGCCCACGTGGAAAGCCCAAGCCACCTGCCATTGCAAAGAGGATGCTAATTTTTTTTTCTTTTAGGGAGCAAAATGTCCTAAATACAGTAGTTTAGTATTCTTAAAACATTTCTATACCAACTCTAAATTCCCCCTTCTCCCAAAGACTTGCAAATTTCTAAGACCACCAACCATGAAAATGTATTCAAATGCACTAAAACAAAATATTTTCATGCCCTCAAGAAATGTTATTCAAACAAACTCCTTTGACATTTTTCCTAGAAGAAAAACACTTCCTAAAGCCCTGAAATCGTGGATGGACTGCTTCATAGGAACTAAAACTTGATTGCAAAGCAGTCAGACCGGGCTCCTGGCCTCAGTCCTCCGAGCGCCTCTCCCTCTTAACTTTCAGAATCCTCAATTTCCTGAAGGCAGCGCATAGTGTGTATTCCCCTCTGCCTCCCCTGGGATGGTGTTATTCCCTGAATGGGATCAGTTATCTTCGGTCTCAGTCATCAGGTCTATCCTCAGCCAAATGGGCAAACTTTCAGTAAAATTCTCTCATTTCTGAGCGCAACCTGCGAACAAATCTATTGCAGTTGCAACAGAAGTCAACATTGGCTGGGTTGGTCTGTGACTTCTCTGAGAATGTACATGGGGCCTTTACAAAGTCTGTGGATGGGACCAGCAGTTGGCATAATGGCTATGTCGCTCGACTGAGGTTCGAGTCCCCGACCTGGTGGCTTAAAAACTCATGCTGGGTGTGTGTGCGGGCATGCCCAAGATTCCAGAGGAGGATGGAGAAGGGATTGCAGTGTGTCCCCTCCCCAGGGGGTGATTTCTTGCTTTCTGTCACTCTCTATGTCTTTCTGGCAAGTGCACATGCCCTATAGCAAAAACATCTCAAAAAAAAAAAAGTTTGTGGAAATCAAGACAATGAAAACCTTACGAATTTTAAAAACATTTTTACACCAGAATGAATTTATCATGTAATTCCATCTCTCCACAAACTTTCTCAAGTCCCTTCGTATTGGGGTGGGTTTTTAAATCCATCATTTAATCCCCCCACAAGGGAAGGTCAGTAACAAAAGTTACGCGGTCATTCCTCTTTGATCAGACTACATGCTCTCCACTTTAATGTCTGGAATTTATAAACCACCTTCCAAGAAATCTTCACCCATAGAGTATTTATGTAAATCTGTTGCCTTTTAAAAACTAACGTTGCAACAGTTGGATTTTAAAGTAATCACTGTTGAAAGCTGTTTATCTTTCAAGCTTTTCTCAGCCTCTCTTGAGAGCAGGAGGGGTGCCCTCCTTTCTTCCTCTGCCTGGCCTGGCAGGGAAAGAGAACAGGATCGGCAAGCCAGAATGCCAGACGGATGGAATTCCGCTCCAGGCTGAGGACACACAAGTCATTTCACAAGAGCAACTCTGAAAGGCCCGCAGTGGCCTGGGACACTGCTCCAGTCCCACGGATCCCCAGCCCGACTGAGTCTCCCTGGAGCCAGAGCAGTCAAGTAGCTGCCTGGCACGCGACGCCTGCATTCCCGCAGCACGGGCCCCGAACTCTCCTCCCCAGTTGACGGCAGCCCATGACTGAGGTGCAACCCTGGGCTCCGGAGCCAGGAGACTGACCTCGCGTTGTGAGCCGGCTGTACACCTGAGAGTTGACTTCCTTGTCTCGCACATAGCATCGAATCTCCTCCACCGCCTCTCGGATGATGGTGACAGCCAGCACAAAGCCCTGCGGAAAGGGGACAACGGTGAGGTGAGCCCTGCTGAAACCAACTGTCCTCTCCTGGTGCTGGGGGCAGGAAAGGCAAGAGGCCACTGGGGAGGGCAGCAGGGCTGGACTTACCTGTGAGTTATTCCCAACGCACACGCACCAGCAAGCCAGAGAACACAAGTGTACACACACACACACACACACACACACACACACACGGAACTCTGCCCTACAGAAATACTCACTGACACAAGTCCGACGACATCCAGACTCACCAACACAGGGTCTAGGAGGGTGACATGGTGGGAACTCAAACTGCGTGACCCACATGACGGGCCTGCTAACGGCTGCCTCTCATTTGCCACGTGCTGGCACTACTGGAAGTGCGTCATCCTCGCGGCAACCCCGCAACATCCACCCTGCGACCAAGACCCCAGGCAGATGCGGAAACTGAGGCTCAGAAGGTCAGGCGATCCTGCCGGAGCACACAGCTAAGCGGCACGCGGGGATGTGGGTGCAGGCATCTCCTGCTCCTGTCCGGTTACTCTGACCCTGGAGAAGCTTAGGGAGATGGACCGGCAGGTCACCCCGCCATATCACTCCATGTGGGGACCCCCTTCGAAAGATGCCGCTAACACCATTCTGGACACCCTCAAGGTTTTCCAGTGTCCTCAACTGCTGGTTAGATTTCTCTGCAAGGAAAAGGCCTAGGAAGGGTGGGGCGGGGACGAAAAGGGACTTCAGCCTCATCTGTAATGTTTTAAGATTTTTTTTTATAAATATAAAGAAACAATACAGGGGCCAGCAGATGGTGTAATGCTTATGTCACTGGACTCCCAGTAGTAGACCACCGTTCGAGTCCCCGACCTGGAGGCTTGCTTTCTCGCTTTCCCTCTCTCTCTCTCACTCTGTCCCTCTCTGGTCAAATTAAAATAAATAAATAAAGATTAATAAAACATAAATATAAAATATATGAGGCTAGCAGGGGGTGTGGATAAGGGTACTGGACTCCCATGTGATCAAAAGAGGTTTGAGTCCCGAACCTGGGGGCTTGGTTTCTCACTTTCCCTCCCTCCCTATTTCTCTCTCTTTCTCTTTTTCTCTCTCTCACTTTGTTCCTCTCTGGTAAAATTAAAATAAGTTAATAAATAAAGTTAAATAAAAATAAATAAATACAATAAGTAAATAAATAAATACATGTTTTAACTTCAATTCAAAGGAAGTTCCATCTCTTCCGTGAATCTATCCGGAGATGGGCTGCTTTGTGAAATTTCCCCAAAGACCCACACATCTTGACAATCAAAGGATCGCTCCTGTCTCCAATCACACGGAAAGCACACCCTGCAGTCCGAGGAAAAGGATATTCCAGAACAGAAGTACAGCCAGGCCACAGAGGGAAGGGAGAACACCTGCTCTGGGAGGAGCGAACTTGGCGTGCAGCACCCACGTCCCTGCCCCACGCTGCCAATGGACTACTCTGTGCCAGAACCCAGGTTCTCGTTGTTTGTTTTCTCAAATGTCCCAGTCTGTATTTCTCTCTGCGTGGGCCTGGCTAAATCCCATTGATGGTAATGGAGAATGTGTGTTCCTACAAGACTGAGCCATTCATTCACCTCCTGCTGCAAATAAATACTGCCTCCAAAGTTATGCTAGACACACGCGCGCACACACACACACACACACACACACACGCTTCTCACTAATCCTAGAGGACATGCCGCCCCTCGGGCTAGAAACTGCTTTACAAAGAGACACAAATGCAGCCCAGAAATAAATCCCAACTGTCTAACTTAGGAGGTCCTTAATATCCATAGATATTTAGAAAGAATATTTAATGGGGGGGGAGGGAGTCGGTGTTGTCTGAGCGTGTAAAACAATCACAGGCCGTGATAAAACAGGCAAGCAATTCTGAAGGTGCTAAGCCTCTTTTGTAAAGTTGTACATCAAAAACAGATCTACTAAAGCAAAACTAGTTCATGGGAAACAGAAATCAGACAAGCAGCTGCCCAGTGAAGGGGTGGTGGCTGGAAAGGGGTACTCAGGGACTTTCTGGGGTGATGGGAGTGTTCTACACCTTGACTACAGTCGTGTTTACGTGGATATACACAAACGTCAGAGCTCCCTGGACTGAAAACTTAAGATCTGCGTACTTTATGGCACCCAGGGTCTATCTAAACTCAACAATCACAAAAAAATATATAGATCATTTGGGCCTCATATAAAAAATATTACAGATTATTTTCACTATCTCTTAAGGAATTTCTCCTCCTAATATATTAGTACGAGGAAAAGGCCACCACAAGCTAAAATGGCATCAGACAATCAACAATAATGTCTGCAGTGGCAGAACTTAAAATCAGAATGAGAGAGACCAACAGTTGAAGGAATGGCTATGTTGCTAGACTCCCATACTGCGGTTCGAGTCCCGGGCCTGGCGGCTTAAACTCACGCCAGGCGCATGTGCGTGCGTGCCCAAGATCCCGAGAGGAGAATGGAGGAGAAGGGATTGCAGCATGACCATCCCCCGTGGGGGGTGATTTCTCACTTTCTGTCTCTATGTCTCTCTGTCTGTCTGGTGAGTGCACACGCCCTATAGTGAAAACCTCTCTAAAAAAATCAATCAATCAATTAAAAAAAAAAAAAAAAACTGTTGGCAGAATCCGGCCCAGCCTGTAGCCTAGCTCAGGGAGGTGCATCCCATAGCTGACTGCTGTTCACACCCTGGCCACGGCGTCTTGAAGACACATCAGGTGCGTGTGCACACATGCCCAATCCCCACCTGATGGAGAGGCGGGGGAGGGGCTGTGGTGTGAACACACCCACAGGAGGGTGCGCTCTTTCTCCCATTCTCTGGAAAGTACGCATGCCCTCAAGCAGTTTTTAAAAATGCAGATATTTCGGCAATAACACATTTCTCATCTTTTTTTTTTTTAATTTGTCAGAGGGTGTGTACCAGATAGAGAAAAACAGATAAGGAGAGGAGAAACCACCCTCCATCGGAATGGCCACTCCGCAATCCCTTCTCGGTCTCTTCCTCCTTTTGGGCACCGACACATATGCACCTAGTAGGTTTTCTGAGCTACCAGGTCTGGGACTCGAACCACACAGTCGGCCATGTGGGATCCAGCTACCTTAAGTATCAGGCAGGCCATGGGCTGGTTCCAAATTTATTTCAAACTTCTAATTTGACATTAAATATAAAAATATGTAGAAACAGGTTAAGTCTTTCTGGGACCAGCATTTAGTGTAATGGCTATGTCACTGGACTCCCATGTAGTTGACTGCATTTCGAGTCCCAGGCCCGGTGGCTTAAACGCACACTGGGCACGTGTGCATGCATGCCCAAGATCCCAAGAGGAGAAGGGATCATGACATGGCCATCCTCGGGGGAGGTGGGGGGGTGTGATTTCTTTCTTGCTGGCATGAGCGCACGTACCCTATAGCAAAAACCTCTCAAAAAAAAAAAAAAATGAAGAAAGAAAGGAAACAAGTCTTCTTACAAAGTAGCACAAAGTTTTAAAAATTGGGGCTAGCAGGTGGCATAGTGGTTAAAGTGCTGAATTCCTATATGGCTGAATACAGGTCAAGTCCCAGACGTGGCGGCTTGAAAATCATAGCGGGCGCATGTGTATGCGTGCCCAAAATCCTGAGAGGAGAAGATTGCAGCGTGGCCACCCCCGGGGAACGTGATTTCTCACTTCCTATCTCTCTGTCTCTCTAGCAAGTGCATGCACCCTATAGCAAAAATCTCTCTCAAAAAAAAGTGAGCTCAGGGGCCAGCAGGTCGTGCAGCAGGTGGTGCAGTGGTTAAAGTGCTGGACTCCCACGTGGCTGACCACGGTTTGAGTCCTGAACCTGGCAGCTTGCTTTCTCACTTCCCCTTTCTCTCTCAATCTCTGTCTCTCTCTGGTCACACTGAAAAATAATAATGATAACAAGTGAAATTAAATAAATAAATATTTAAAAAAAAAAAAAAAGTGAGCCCAGAGACAACAGAAATGATGCAACCCATGGGGAGGTTTCGTCTTTCTCACTTGCCACTGCACCCCCAGTCAAGATGGTGCCTACGTGAACAACACACAATAAATACCTGCTGAAGTAACAGACACAGGCCGGCCGACCGGCCGCGTGAACCACAGGCCTTGCTGGCAGTTGATCCCGTCACCGAATAAAACGCAGCTTCGGCGTTACAATGTGGGGACTCACAACACACGGCTGGAGAGCATCCTCCCTGTGGACGGCTGCTGTCCCACTTCAGCTGAGACAGACAAATCTCCAAGGTGACTGAGCGGGAACAGGACTGACTCACCAGGGGGACCCAGTAGGTGTAGAGCGCGCCAAGTCTCATCTCGGGAACAAACTGGGAGCAGGCGAGGAGCAAGAAATAGAGGTTGAAAAAGTACTTGAACTGGTTGAACAGCACCTGGAACGTGGAGACAGAGGGAGACAGTCAGGGCCCGCCAGCGAGGTGGAGGGGCAGTGAGTGACAGAAACCTACCGACCCGCCATGATGGCCTATGGGATGCCTTGCCCATGAGGCTGAAACACTTCCATCTGTCCTTCAGGAAACGCACGTGGGTAACAAAAATGTCATGGTCAGGCCAGCTGCAGTGGGGCAGGAGGCAGGGTGCTGCAGCGCAAGGCTGGAGCCACACGGAGGGCTGGGTTTGGACCCTGGATCAACCGGACGGTGCCAGGCGCACCCACGTGCCCCTGATCCTGGACGGCCGAGAGGCAGGGCAAGGGCCACAGCATGGTAAAACCCTGTCCAGGAGGCCTACTCACCTCTCATGAAATAAAGAAAAACACTTTTTAAAAAATGTTGCCAGGACCAGCAATTGGCATAATGGCTATGTCACTGGACTACCATGTGTTAGACTCCCACACGGCCAACTGAGGTTCGAGTCCTAGACCTGGCTGCTTGCTTTCTCACTTTCCCAATCTACCTCTCTGGTTGAAATAATAATAATAATATTAATTAATTAATTAATGATTCTTTAAAAAATAAAGAATTCCAGGACCAGCAGTTAGCATAATGGCTATGTCGCTGGACTCCCATGTAATTGACTGCGGTTCCAGTCCTGGACCTGGTGGCTTAAACTCATGCCGGGCGCGTGTGCATGCATGCCCAAGATCCCAAGAGGAGAACAGAGGAGAAGGGATTGCGGTATGGCCATCCCCCCCTGGGGGTGATGTCTCGCTTTCTGGCTCTCTGTCTCTTTCTGGCAAGAGCACACACCTTATAGCAAAAATCTCTCCAAAAATAAATAAATAATAAAATAAATAATAAAATAAAATAAAGAATTCCACACTGGGTGGCAGTTGGGTCTGGCAGAGTTGTAACTGCTCCTGTGTGCCCTGGGAGAGGCTGAGATCACATGACTACCTTTGGCCAATGGGCAATGAGTGCAAGTCTCTTTGAAGCTAAGGTGGGTGAGAGCCTTCATGCCTCTCGCCTTCCACGGTGACACTGCAGTCACACATTCCAGACGGCACAGCTATAAGATGCAAGCAGGCAGCCAGCCTGCATCAGCCTTGCTATAAATAAGAAATAAACCTTTTCCTGGCTGAAGATACTGAGATTCCAGGAAAGGGTTTGAAACAGCTAGCAATGAATCCATTTTAAATTACCCTTAAAAAAACATTCAAATGGGGCCAACCAGTGATGTGGTAAAAGTGGCTGGATCCACATGGCCAAGTGTGTGGTTCGAATCCCAGACCTGGCAGCTTGAAAAATATGCTAAGTTCATATTTTGTACCCAAAATCTGAAAGCAGGGAGAAGTAGAGAAGAGATTCAGACATGACCACTCCCCTTGGGGGGGTGCTTTCTCACTTTCCCTCTTTCTCTCTCTCTCTCCCCCCCTCTCTGGCAAGTGCACATGCTCTCTCACCAAAAAAAAAAAAGAATTCAAATCTTGAACTACAATACTCTCATACCTCTGTATTATCACTCAACATTGAATGTTACCATTGTTTTCCTGTCTGCACTGGCACTGACTGCTATTGCTTTGACTTCTAAAGTCAACTATTGGGGCTGGCAGGTGGTGTGGTGGTTAAGAGAGCTGGATTCTCACATGACCAACCACGGTTCAAGTCCCGGACCTGGCAGCTTGCTTTCTCACTTTTCCTTTCTCTCTCTCACTCTGTCCCTCTCTGGTCAAATTAAAATAAATAAATGAATAAATAAATTTCAATAAAATAATTCTTTTAAAAAAATAAAGTCAACTATTGGAGCCGGTGGATGGCATGGTGGCTAAGACACCGGATTCCTACATGGCTGACTGAGGTTCAAGTCTTAGACCTGGTGGCTTACTTTCTCACTTTCCCTCTCTCTCTCTGTCTATCTCTCTGTGATCAAGTTAAAATAATAATAATAATAAAATAAATCATAAAAAAAAGTTTCCTTTGAAGTCAATTTCTTTTCTTTTCTTTTCTTTTTTTTTTGAGATGTGAGGTTTTTGCTATAGGGCGCGTGTGCTCGCCAGAGAGACAGAAAGTGAGAAATCACCCCCCGGGGGGTATGGCCACGCCACAATCCCTTCTCCTGCATCCTCCTCTCAGGATCTTGGGCATGCACGCACACATGCCTGGTGTGAGTTTAAACCACCAGGTCTGGGACTGGAACCACGGTCGACTACATGGGAGTCCAGCAACATAGCCATTATGCCAACTGCTGGTCCCTAAAGTCAATTGTTATGTGTTTGGAGCCCATGCTGGATAAAAATAGCTATTTAGAGTCAGTAGATACAAAGGGGTTAAGGCGCCGGATCCCACATGGCCAATTTTATGGTTCACGTCCCAGACCTAGCAGCTTGAAAAACACATCAGGCGTGTGTGCATGCTTGCCCCAATCCCCAGAAGAGAATGGAAAAAAAGGGACTGCAGCATGGACATCCCCCCGGGGGTGGACTTTCACTTTCCCTCCCTCTGCCTCTATCTCTGTCTAGCAAACACGTGCTCTTATGGCAAAAATCTTTTTAAAATAATAATAAAGCTATTTAATTTACGTGTGTCAGAGGGAAGTTGCTGAGTTCATGTCCATGGATTTGTGTAGGTTAATACAGGAGTATAATGATACCAGTACGATGCATTTACTATCCCCAATTTTTTTCCCTCAAGTTTTTTTAAACACTTATTCTTATTTATCTATTTGTTGTGATCTTCAAGCTGCAGAGTCCAGGATTTGAACTGTGATCAGCCATGTGGGAATCCAGTACCTTAACCACCATGCTACCTGCTGACCCCTATCCAAAATGTTAATGGGACTTCTCTCTCTAGATAGTAAGATTCAAATTTGTTTTATTTTTTTCTATATACGTTTACCTGCAAATTTGCCTATATTGAGTATGCGCTTCATGACAATAGGGAGAGAAATTTAAGCACTGCCAATGTTCAACATTTTGGTTACATGAGGTGGGTCTTCAAAAAGGTTGTGGAAAATAAGTATTATGCAAAAACTATGCATGGAGGGACCAGTAGGTGGCATAATGGTTACGTTGCTGGACTCCCACGGAGTCAACCGTGGTTTGAGTCCTGGACCCAGTGGCTTAAAACTCACGCCAGGAATGTTTGCTTGCAAGCCCAAAATCCTGAGAGGAGAATGAAGAAGAAATTGTAGTGACCATTCCCATGGGGGCTGACTTCTCACTTTCTGTCTCTCTGTCTCTCTCTGTCTCTCTGTCTCTCTCTGTCCCTCTTCAAGCACATACACTCTATAACAAAAACATCTCTAAAAAAAAAAACCCAAACAAACGAAAAAGTCTATGCATGCATTCCAACCTTCTTTTGGCACCAAAATAAATTCATACTTTCGTTCTATTTTTCCACATATGTTTTGTAGTCCCCTAGGTCCCAGAATACCTTTTGTACTCTCAGGTTCAAAACACCAAATAAACATGGAGTTATTTTAACTGAACAGGTAGGGTCTCACAGCCTCACGGACAGAAGACAGCTCCCTTGGGACCAGCAGTTAGCGTAATGGCTATGTCACTGGACTCCCATGTAGTTGACCACAGTTCGAGTCCCAGACCTGGTGGCTTAAACTCATGCCGGGCGCGTATGCATGCATACCCAAGATACCAAGAGGAGAATGGAGGAGAAGGGATTGTGGTGTGGCCATCCCCCTGGGGAGTGATTTCTTGCTCTTTGTCTCTCTGGTGAGTGCATGTGCCCTACAGCAAAAACCTCTCCCAAAAAAAGAAGACAGCTCCCTCCATGTTCAGGGCAGGAAGGATGGAGGCCCAGGGGCTAAGATGGTGCTAAGAAGCCCCAGGGATTTGCAAGATCCATGGTGGGACGCAGTCTTCTGAGGCTAGTAGCATGGCATATATATACTTGTGGTGGCAAAGAGAGTGGGTGTGGTCCCTGCCTGCACGTACCCCAGGAAGAAAGGTGAAGAAATTGTACTTCTGATTGTTGATGACATTTCGAGGATACCTCTGGTCCCTCTTCTCCGGGTGTCCCAACCAGACAGTGCGGGGCCTGGGCTCGCCTCCGCCACAGCATCGCAGCCACTCACAGCACCTGGGGGAAAGACAGGTTGACAGGGTCAAGGCCACGCCCACACTGTGAGGCCACGCCCACCCACCAGAGGCCCCACCCCACCATCAAGGCCATGCCCACATCTACCCCAGGTTCTCAGAATATTTTCCTCTAAGGTATCTTCAGTAGACCAAAGACGGGAAAACAGAGTAGAAGTTTCCAGGATGTTGTGGGTCAAATGATTTACTTCCAACAGCAGGATTCATTTAAAAATAAAAAGATTTAAGTTAAAAGCTAAATATGGCACAATAAGCACTCTAGTTACTTTTACATTTTATAGATAAGAGATGAAAGTTCAAGACAGTTAAATAAATCTAGATTTGGGACCAGCAGATGGCATAGTGGTTATGTCACTGGACTCCTATGTAGTCAACTGCAGTTCCAGTCCTGGACCCAGCAGCTTAAAACTCAAGCTGGGCGCATGTGCATGCATGCCTAAGATCCCACGAGGAGAATGGAGAAGGGACTACAGCATGGCCATCCTTTCTGGGGGGGGGGTGATTTCTCACTTCCTGTCTGTCTCTTCGGTGACATATACCTTAAGCAAAAACCTCTCTTAAAAAATAAACAAACAAACCCAGATTTGCTGAGATGTGAGAAACAACCGAGTCTATGTGGATCTTACCCCAAAGCCTAGGGTCGTCCCACTGTCCCATACTGTCAAAGCTGCAGTTGCCCCAAGGTCGCTATAGAAAGAAAGGGACATCTCTCCACTCCTGACTCTCCTTTTTTGGCAACACATGGAAGAGCAAGCCAAAAGACGATGTCTCAGAGCCCAGCCTGACCTGGACCACGTGGGCCACATGCCATATAGGCCAGCTGACCCCAACTACTGTCCCCCAGCCCTGCACTCACTCCCAGGACACCTTTGCGCGAGGCAAGGGATACCTGGGAACCTGGAAACCCCAGCAAAACCAAGTCACTCTAAGAATCTCCAAAAAGGGCATCCTGTCCTCCAGGGAACTCATAAACAGGTTGCTGGAGAATTACAACACGGCAAGGAAAATGCCTGAGGCTGAATGGCTTACCTCACTGCCCCCACACAGGCAGAAGGGAAAGGAGAGTCCCAGCCCTGCCCGTCCCCTGAGATGTCGCCAGGAACGAACCTAGCATACATAGCAACCATCACTTACATAAGGACCTGTCTGCTGCAGACCTTCCTTCTCCCATTCCTCCTCCAGGCCGGGTCCTAAAGGGATGCTGGGGTATAGAGCACGGCAACAGTCCCCAGGCATCACCGCTCTCGAGAAGAGCAAGCCAGCAAGCGGCCTGCTCAGACATCCAAAATTTCCATGATGAAAGACAATGCTCCTTCTTAAAAATAGCACCCTCATTCCAGTAAGCCAGCCCAGGGTGGGGTGTGGCCCTGAGGAGGCAGGTTGCACTCCAAGTAACTGATGCCTGCAGGCCCCTTTCCAAGTTGTTCGAAAGCCAAAGACACACAGAAGCCACAGGAGTCAGCCCCTCTCCCTATTCCTGTGGCCAGGGGCAAATCACCTACAGTAGCCATCGTGGGCACTCACTGGATATGAAAAAAGGAGAGAGGAGGGGGAGGGGGGGATGGAGAGGAGGAGGAAGGAAAGGAAGAGTCATTTGATGGAAGCACACCACTCCATGACCAGTGAAATCTCCTCCCCATCCTATCATGCTTCTGTAAGAATGAATTCCACAGTTTTTTTTTCTTTTCGAGAGGTTTCTGCTATAAGGTGCATGCGCTTGCCAGAAAGACAGAGAGAAAGAGACAGAGAGACAGAAAGCAAGAAATCACTCCCCAGGAGGGATGGCCACACCGCAATCCCTTCTCCTCCATTCTCCTCTTGGGATCTTGGGCACACACGCCAGGTGTGAGTTTACTTAGCTTGGGGGCCAGCCAGGTGGCAGGGTAGTTAAAGCACTGAATGATCAACTTTGTGGTTCAAGTCCCAGACCCAGCGGCTTGAGAAACATGCTGAATGCATGCGCATGCCCAAAATCCCTAGAGAAGAATGGAGACAGGATTGCAGAGTGACCATGCCCCTGGAGGGTGATTTCTTGTTTCCTGTATTTCTGTCTTTCTCTCCAGCAAGGACACAAACCCTATAGCAAAAATCTCCCTTAAAAAAAAAAAAAAAAAAGAGGTAGGGCCAGAAATAATTTATATTGTCCTGTCCAGCTTAGACCACTAAGCTAAGGGAAAACCAGGAGGAATTTTCTTTTCCTTTTTTAAATTTTATTTTATTTTTAACATTCGATTGCCATACATCATTTGGCTTGTAAAAAGAATTTACCCAACATGAAATACACCTCAGACCAGTCCAGTTGAGAATACTATGCACGTCATCATCAACAGGTAATAAACCGTTTCTGTGTCCTACCAGGAGGAATTTTCTTATGACTTGACTCTAAAGCAAAGGTTTCACAGTAAGCAGTCTCCTAACCGATGTGCCTGGTCTGCAATTGGCCGAAATGCAAAGGAAGGCGGAGATCACGAAGGAACGACCAAGGGAAAGACGTTTCTAAAGCAGGTACCTAATGACGTAACAAGGAGCTGGCCGCCCAGGCAGGACCGGCAGGACCGGCATGGTCAGCTCCGTTCCGAGCGCCCCTGCTATCGACAAGCACTGGGTAAATATTTGCTGGACTGCCTGCAGGACACACTAACCTTTCAGGAAACCAGAGTCTAGTCCTGGCATTGAGACTGTGCAGATGTAGGAAGAATACAAGGAAAAAGCAAAAGCAATATGGAGACCACAGTTCACAGCACTGGTTCTCACTGAGAGGAGAGAGGTGACTTTTCCTCCCAGGGACGTTAGAAATGTCCAGAGATGCGTTTACTTGCCACACCTGCAGGAAGGGTGCTACACCTGCTGGAGCCCAGAGAGGTTGCTAAGCATCCCGCAATGCCCAGCACAGCCCCCCAAAGAGGATGATCCTGCCTCGAATGCCAGCTGAACCAAGGCAGAGAACTCGACCCCACGGCAGCACCATCCGATACATTTCTTCAGTGGTGTAGACATTCTACACTGTACCAGGGCCGGCAAGCGGTATAGTGGTTAAGGCACTGGACTCCCACGTGGCTGGCCACAATTCAAGTCCTAGACCCAGGGGCTTGAAACTCATGCCAGGTACATGTCCATCAAAAGTCTTAAGAGGAGAGTGGAGGAGAAGGGATTTCAGCATGGTCATCCCCCAGGGGTATAACTTCTCACTTTCTGTCTTTCTCCGTCTCTCCGGTGAGTGCACACACCCTATAACAAAAATCTCTCACAATTTCAGGGAGAAAAAAAATCTCTCACAAAAGCAAAACATTTTTGCAGTAGGGCGTGAGAGAGACAGAGAGAAAAAGTGAGAAATTACCCCCCAAGGAGGATGGCCATGCCACAATCCCTTCTCCATTCTCCTCTCGGGATTCTGGGCACACACATACGCACCCAGTGTGTTTTTCAAGTCACCAGGTCCAAGACTACAGTGGTGGAGTTGGCCACATGAGATCCACCTTCCTTAACTACCACACTACCCGCTGGCTCTGGTGGGTACATTTAAAACCTATTCTCAATAGCTACTACGCTCAGCCACTGAGCACTCCAAATGTGAAGTTCAATTTTATTCCATTAACTTAATCGATTTAAATAGCCACATGCATCCAGTGACTGCCATTTGTTTTATTGCCAGAAGGTATGTGCTTACCAGAGACAAGAGAGACAGAGAAGGAGAAAGAGAAAGCACACCCAACTGCGCCATCACCAGGTTGTAATCCCTTCTCCTCCATTTTTCCATCCTGCCAGGATTTGGGGCATACATACACATGTGTCTGGTGTGCTTCTAAAGTCCCTGGGGCTGGACTCAAACCTAGGTTGACTATATGGGAGCTGGCTCCCTTAACCACGGGACCACAGGGCTGGCCCTACTGGTTACCATGTTAGGAATTGTTTAAACACAGAAGCCTGGGGGTGGGGTAGAATGTTGGGAAGGAGGGTAGGAATGGATGGGAAAATATGAAGGGAAACTTGCATCTTCCTTCCAAATGAGAGTAAATGTTACCTTTTTTTTTTTTTTTTGAGAGACAATTTTGTTATAGCGCACATGAGCTCACTAGAGAGACAGAGAGACAGAAAGCGAGATATCACTCCCCAAGGGAGATGGTCACGCTGCACTCCCTTCTCCTCTATTTTCCTCCCAGGATTTTGGGTCTGCACGCACATATGCCTAGCATGAGTTTTTGTTTTTCTTTATTTATTTTTGTTTTTATTTTTATATTTATTTGACCAGAGCAAGGCAGAGAGAGAGAGAAAGTGAGTAAGCAAGCCACCAGGTCTGGGACTCTAACCGTGGTTAGCCATGTGGGAGTGTCTAACACCTTAACCACCACACCACCTGCAGTCCTGTCTGGCATGAGTTTTAAGCCACTGGGTCTGGGACACAAACCGTGGTGGGCTACATGGGAGTCCAATGACTTAACCATTACACCATCACCTGGTCCCAGTGCTACTTTTTTTTTTTTTTTGGGGGGGGGAGAGGTTTTCTTTTTTGCTATAGGGCACGTGCACTCACCAGACAGACAGAGACAGAGACACAGAAAGCGAGAAATCGCCCCCCAGGGGGGATGGCCACGCAGCAATCCCTTCACTGTTCTCCTCTCGGGATCTTGGGCACGCACGCACACGCGCCCTGCGTGAGTTTTAAGCTACTGGGTCCAGGACGCGAACCGCGGTGGACTACATGGGAGTCCAGTGATATAGCCATTACACTAACTGCTGGTCCGCAGTGCTACTTAAAAAAAAAAAAAAATAGGAGAGCATGGGGCCAGATTGCATAGTCATGAGGCCAACAGATGGTGTGGTGGTTAAGGTTCTTGATTCCCACACGGCAAACTGTAGTTCGAGTCCCAGACCTGGAGGGAAAATCATGCCAGGTGCATGTGCGTATGTACTCAAAATCCCAACAGGAGAATGGAGAAGAAGGGATTACAATGGGGTCTCCCCAGGGGGGAGGAGAGGGTGGTG